TGGTACAGCAAGAAGCAAAACTCCATCTCTCTTTCCACAGCCGAAGCAGAATATATTGCAGCTGGAAGTTGTTGCACACAACTTCTGTGGATGAAACAGATGCTAGAGGATTATGGGGTTGAGCAAGAGGTTCTAACGGTTTATTGTGACAACACAAGTGCAATTAATATCTCAAAGAATCCCGTACAACACTCAATAACAAAACACATCGACATATTGTATCATTTTATTCGTGATTTAGCTGACAGCAAACAGGTTGTACTAGAATATGTAGCTACAGAAAACCAGCTGGCTGGTATTTTTACTAAAGCTCTTGACTCAGTGCGATTTGTTTACTTGAGAAAGACCCTAGGCATCTGTGTTGTTTAGTTTTTGCTTACTTTTCATTTCAATTAGGATTGCATTTCACTGACTCATCTAGTGGTTCAATAGTAAGTTTCACATTTCGAATCTGGAAAATGGGAAGTTGGATTAGTTTTGTTTCCTGACATGAACAATCACCTGAGCACACTACCTTAGTATTGAATCTTGGTTATTGATGTCGAATTTTTTTATGACAGAAAAGTGATGTACCTCGTGACTTGGGATTAAGAATATCTATCCATTCTTGGACTCTAATCTCTCAATTTACAGAAGAAAAAAAAAAAACAAATGCAGATCTCACTCAAAAAAAATGAGGGGGGGGACACAAAAAAAAAGGGGGGGGGGGGGGGGGTGACATCACATAGTGATGTACCAAGAGACTGGAAAAAGCTACCTACATCTCAAAGAATAGATGATAGAGTGAAAGCTACCAAAATCTATGAGATTTACAGAGAGATTAGATGATTAGGTAAGTTTGAACAAGTACAAGTTTCTTTCTAGTGTTCAAAAGACTGAAACTGAAAGTAATTGTGAGGAAATATTTAAGGTAGTTATGCACACACACACGTTCATGATAAGATTTCAAATCTATTTCACTTTCTGTTAGTACAGATTCTATCTATGAGATTAATTGTTGTAAACACCTGACATGAGCTTGCATTCTGCATCTAGTTTTTTTTTTGTTTAATAATAATTATAATAAAAAAATGCATTTTTTTTGTTTGTTTTTGTGAATTGAGGCCATTCTCAACGTATACAAATTAACTGTTCTTAAGCAACTTGTGGAATTAACATCTAGCCGTTGAGTTTTTCTGTTTCGTTATCTGGGTGGTTGAGTCTTGTTGTTAACAATTTTTTCATTGTCCTATGTCGATGTCGTATTGTGCATTTTCACTAATTGCTTTGACATGTCGTTCTGCTCTTTATTTTTCAAGGGAAACTTTGAGTTATTAAAATGTTGCTTAAATTGTGTTGAATAATCTTTTGAACCCAAAGGCCTCTCTGTGTCATTCTTTCTCTCCTCCGTTTCACGTTCCTTCCTGTCCCAACCATTTAGGGTGTGATACCTAAATCACTAAGCAGAAGAAATTTCAAGATTCAACATGGTGAGAGCTCGTGGACAAGGTTGGAACAGTTCATCTCAGAGACACACTATCTCAGCAGCTCCGGCGAAGTCTCTGATGATCATCGCTTCGCCTTGCGCCGCTCACCGGAAAGTCCTGAAGTCCCATCCGCTGCTTTCTCCTCCTTCGACCATGGACACAGCCACTAATCCTTCTTCCTCGAATCATTAGGTGACCAAGCTCTCCATGCTGAGGAGTCTGCACCTGAAGATCACAAACAGTCATCAAAGGTACAAATCACTTCCCCTGCTCCAGCTCCAAATGATCTTGCGATTGTGGTTCATGACCCATGTTTCGACCAAAACATGGTGTTTTCTGATCTTGAGGAAGAGAATGCTAGAGATATTTCCAAGAAAACTTCAAGAAAAAGATCACGACAAATTTCCAAGACCAAGAAGTCCAAGAAATCCAGAAAATTGTCATTGGGCACTTCATCTGTACCTGATTCTGTCCCTACAGACATACCAATCTGTGATCATGATGGCCATACTCCACAAGTTTCTGTCGAAGACTCCATTCCAGAACCCAATGCTCCCCATAAGTCATCTCCAGAATGTTCACAAAGGCGCCCGTCATCTGTTCCCTCTACAAGAAACACAAGGTCAGCGTTTTCAAGTCTGTCCCACAATCTGCTGCCTCTCCATCCAAGAGCCGTACCATGGCATCTACTTCTTCTCCAGTAGATCCATCTGCTCCTCAAGATCACGATGCTGATCTTCATTCCTTTTCACTTGGGTATGATCGTTCTAAGGCTTACTCCCTAAAGTTCTTTTTTGAAATAAATGAGGAAGTATGGGTGACCATGTCATCTAGAGGAATCATCGCTAAAAGAAACATCAATGTTATCAAATTTAGAGATACAGGTATACTTGATCTACTTGAATCTTCAGGCCTAATGGGAACTTCTCACTCTTGCCAACAAATTTAGTCCAGATTTGGTGTATGAATTTTACTCAAATCTGTCAGCAAACATTGCCATTGCTAGCTCTCCTGTCTATGGCAAGATTTATATTCGAGGAAATGAATTGGATTTCTCTCCTACTCTCATCAACAAGCTCTGTCATTGTCCTGATTTTTTGAAACTTGAGCATTTTGTTGAGTTTACAATAGTTGTGTGGCCTGATGAGATTGCCTCTGAATTGACTGGACGTTCTTTCAACTGGACCACGGCAAATGCTCTTCGAGCCTATGTGCTGACATCAAAATATTATATGCTGCATAAACTTGGCCTTTACAATTGGGTTCCAAGATCTCACAAAAACAATATGTCCCTGGAACTTGCCAAGTTTCTGTATTTTGTTGGCACAGGACAAGTCTTCAATTTTGGAAAGGTGGTTTTTGATCACATTGTGCAGTTTACAGTTGATCGCACGACCTTGCATGGTCTTCCTTTCCCGTCTCTCATTTACAGGATTTTTGTTTCTCAAGCCCCTTTTCTGCTGAAAAAAGACAAGATGATTCCACTGGTGCCTCCTCTCGGGGTGTCCACAAAGGTATTTCGTGGACCTCGTGTTGTTAATGTTGAGGGGGAGTCATCCCATGCTGCTGAAGGGCCTGTTTCCACTTGTCCAGGCTGCACCAAGAACTTTGTGTTGCTACAAGGGTTCTGTAAAGATGCAAACTGAGCTGGATGTTATACGGGCTTTACAAGACAAAGCAGGGAGTGACATCAAGCAATTAGTTGATATGCAGGTCAAATTCCAAGATGATATGCGGAGTCAAATGGCACAACTTCTTTCCTCGTCGCTTGTGCCCTCTTCCTCAGCTGTTGATCCTCCGGTTTGATATGTTCTTCAGCTTGTCATTTTGGATTCCAATAGTTTCTAGTTTATCTTTGGCTTTTTGTTTGCCAAACTTAGGGGGAGAGTAATGTGCTTCGTGGTCAATTAGTTAGTAATTTTCTTGAACACTTTGTTTGCTTTGAGTACTCTTGGATATAGTTGTGTAACTTTGCCAAACTAAGCCAAAGGAAGAGATTGTTGAGTCGTGTGGGTCGTTTTGACTCTCTTTTTATGTTTTGGGCTTTGGTTGGCTTAGTTGGGCTTCATGTTTGGATTGTTTATTTTTAAAGTGTCAAGAAATGTCGTACACCTTTTGTTTGAGTCGTTTGGTTCCTTAAGTAATGCTGTGCGTTTTGACAAAATCTGGAGTTAGTCTTTCGAATTTGTTGGGTTCGTTCGAATAGAAGAAGATCAGCTTTTGGGTTCATTCAAATAGAAGAAATCAGCTTCACAGTTTTGAATTAAGATAAGGCTCTAAGGATTTCGTGGAAAAGATCAAGATTGTGTTGGTATTTTGATTTAAACCAGGATTTGAAATTGAAACAAATATCTATTAAAGATTTTGTTTTAGTTTGAATAAAAGGTTTATTCAAAACCGTATTTCATGATGAATTTATTTTGAAGATCAAGATATCATCTAAAAGGAGATTGGAGTGCTGAGAATCTGGGTCAAGAAAATTGAAACTGGAATATACGAAGCAGATTACGTGTTTTGAATTTTAAACTGATAACTATCTTATCTGTAACTACAGATTCTGAGACAAATTCTGATTTTGAATTAGATCAGTTAATAAAAGGTTGTTGCACGAGGAATCAACTGATGGACCGAAATTCTGATAAAGTACAGCGTGCACAAGTTGAAGAGATATAGCGTCCATCGTCTTCGTTCTTTGAGAGAAGATTTTGTGAGCTTTCAGAAGAAGGCGTTTGAAGTCGAGTGGTGCTCGCCAAGCTAGCCACTTAGGGTGTTAGACACAGCGGCGTCGATAGTTAAGAGGGAGTCTTGAGTTGGTTAAGTTCGATTGGTGTCTGTAACTTTTTACCTATTAGTGGATTGCTTAATGTCTGGGCGTGGCCCCATGGATGTAGGTCGGTTTGACTGAACCACGTTTAATCGTTGCGTGGTATTTACTCTGCTTTTGTGTTTTGCTTTGGTAATCCTTAATCAATTTTATAAGAAAACACGGTAAAAACTCATCACCCGTTCTAACAAAAGTATTATAGAATAAGGAGAAAAGAAAGCTACTTTTTACAAAAGAACAAAAACTAAAAGATTAACTTGTAAAGAAAAAATAAACCATTTAGGACAAAAAAAAACGTATAAATTCAAAATATATCGTCGAGAATTTGGGAGTAGGATAAAAAACAATAAACTATTAATTATTTTTTATTTTTTAAAATGTTAAATTTGTATTATAAACGGTTCATTTTGTATATTTTTTTTAATTTAATATGTAACTTTAATCAAATTTAATGATTAAAACTGACCCAAAGCCTCCGCCCGAGAAGTTCTAAAAAATTAAGGTATAGATAAGTTATAACGTTAAAGCCCGTTTACTGCCAAGTTTTGATATCACCGTCACACGTGAACTTTCCCATGCAGTCCTCAAGTTTGCCACGACAGGCCATGCTTGCCACGCACTTACTTCCTGCTCTCACTAGCTGGCACTCTTTATGGCAACAACTTACAGAACTATTGCACCCAAATGCTGTATTTTGTTCAAGACATAAGTTAGATAAAGTAATCAAAAGAAGAAGTTGGAGAAACTAAAGTCATGGCTGCAGTTTTTGAAAATGAGTCATTGGCAACTGAAGCTCGTTATGCTCCGGTGACTTCCGAGAGAAAGGTCAGGAGTGACTTGGAAACCACTCTTCCAAAACCTTGTAAGTTTATAAACACACACACACACATAACTACTTTCTGTTACTTTCTATAACTTTGCATCTATTGTATTGTTTATCTTTTCCCAAACATATATAAAGTTCTAGTAATTTTATCAATTGGGTGTCGAATTTATTGACTGAAGTTTTCTGGGGTTCAAACTAAGTAAGTCTGTTTTGCTATTAGCTAATATGGTTTTTAATTTCTTCCATTTACTTTTTGCCGTGTGTATTTTAAGAAAAAAAACAACTTTTATAAGTATTCTCAACTTATTTTTCAAGAACAATGCTACATAAAAGCTCATCTAGTTATTGATAGTAAAGGGTGTCTAGATTTTAGCTCAACATACATTGATATTCTCTTTGATATTTATACCTATAATATATATATATATAATGTATGTATATGTATATATATGAAACTGAAAATGAAAATCAGATCTGCCAAGAGCATTGACTGCTCCAGACACATACCACCCAACTGGAACACCAGGACACAGGCACTACAATCTGAGTGTTCTTCAGCAACATGCTGCCTTTTTTGACCAAGATGACAATGGTATCATCTACCCTTGGGAAACTTATGCTGGTAAACAATTACTATTCAGTTTTAACATTTTTTAGCATATAATACCGCAACGCTTATTTTTGTTATGCTTTAATTTATTTGGATGCCTTTGTTTAATCAAGGCCTGCGTGCTATTGGGTTCAATGTAATTGCCTCCCTTGTCATGGCCATTATTATCAATGGTGCACTCAGTTATCCTACTCTGCCAGTAAGTTAATTTGTGACCTGTGAAAATTAAAAATCTTGAGCTTGGTAAAAAGTTATTTTCTTTTGCTTTTATTAATGTTGTTGCTTATAATTTTTAGGGGTGGTTCCCTTCTCCTTTCCTGCCTATATACATTCAGAACATCCACAAAGCCAAGCACGGTAGTGATTCTGGAACATATGACACGGAAGGAAGGTACATATATGACACTCGACTCAATAATATGCTAACCCACATAATTGGAAATAATTGAGGACACCAAATTCAATTTGCGGCAAGGGACAGGAATTCGGAATCCGTGCCTTAATGAGGATGCCTGCACCTAGTCCTCTCAAACAATGAGCTTGTGTATTTGACATATGTGGACATGTGAGGATTGTCTCAAATGATAAGGTTGTCTATTTGACGTGTATAAACCTCTCAAGGATTGTCCACAACAACGTGGACTGGTCGACGATATTGTCGACGATAGCGCGGACTGGTCCCCTTTTTATTACACTTGTGGTCTCGCACTAAGGGGTGTGAGGACACCATCGATCTGCTTTTATTTATAAGTAAAAATATAAACTGACCATTTTTGTTTTCGTGTGATTTCACCATTTAAATAGGTATGTGCCAGTAAATCTGGAGAACACATTTAGCAAATATGCTATGACTGTGCCTGACAAGTTAACATTTGGAGAGCTCTGGGACATGACAGAGGGAAACCGGCTTGCATTTGATCCCTTTGGCTGGTATATATGTATTTCAAGCTCTTAATATTTTACTTTGAAACTGCAAATGGTATACGGTCCGGTCCGCCTTGGTGTTCAACGCTTGAAAGTTTCTTACCTAATCAAATCAGAAACTTATAGTTGTCTCATCATTTAACAATATGTATACCTCTAGTAAAACTATCAACTATACACCAATTATTTCTTTCGCCTTTCATATCGTGATTAAAAAATTATCTGGCTCCGCCATTGTAATTGCAGGATTGCAAGCAAGATGGAGTGGGGAGTGTTGTATGTTCTTGCCAGGGATGAAGAGGGCTTTCTGTCTAAAGAAGCCGTCAGGCGTGCCTTCGATGGAAGTTTGTTCGAGTATTGTGCTAAGATGAATCTCGGTGGTGAGGCTAAGATGGGCTGAAATATCCAAACTTTTTTGTGTAGAGATGGTGTAGTGTGTCAAAGTATGTGGCAGTGAATAATTGCAAGGAAGGTCTTTGTTTGATCTTCCAAGGTTGGAGTCAGGACCATTTTAGCTTTTTTATTTTGCTTATGTTCAAATAGGTTGGTTATTAGCTGCTTTTGTAAGTTTTAACTCTCTTTGACTATCATGAAGTTCATGATCAGCTAAAAGTTTATATGGTAAATAAATATCTTTCAAAATCAGCTTGCTTTGTTTTGAAGATGTACTATATTTTATTCAGAATCAAGAATAGGGCCATTTTATTAGGGAATAGAATGTTTGGACAAAATATTGCAGACTAATTTTCAACGACATAAAAGAATTTTATCAAGAAACATAGTACAAAGGATTTGGAAGCTCAAATGTTCTCTTTACGCTAGGAATCCCTTCAATGCTGCTATATTGGTCTCCCAGAATTCCCCAAATTCTGTATCCTTGGCTAATCAACTGTTTTCTAGCTTCAGCTTTGTACTCCTGTACAGTCTTCAGTTCATCCCCTGTGACCAAAAACAAAATTTGCTTTACTCAACCAACTGCACAATGTGGTCCACAAATTCAACTCGGTCATTAGGAAAGTGACCTTTATAAATTTTTCTGTTTTCTTTCTTCTTTGGAAAATATTTGGAAAGTGAAAAACAATGATTATAGAGGTCATTTCGTTTAGCAGCAACTGCACATCCACCATCTTTTGATAGTGGAATATAAAATATTTTTTATTAAATTCACATTCAACACAAAAATGAAAATAAAAAAAAATAAACCACCTTAAAAAAAAACATGAATAAAAGTCTTATTAGTATACCTAATTATCAAAAATGAAGACTTAACAAATAAGACCTTAATATCCATAGTGATTAGTATAATATATTTTAAAAACACAGAATAATTATTATGATAGTGACTCAGTTTCACCTTTAATATTGAAGTATAAAGTTATCAAACTTATAAAACACCAAAAAAGAAAAATAGAAAATGAAAGTAGTCTATTATCTAAACATATCAAGTGCCACCATTAAAACCTTAATATATAAAAAAAAAATAAAAAATAAAAAAAAGGAGAAGAAGAAGAAGAAGAATTACCCAAAACCGTTTTTCTTATAGAATGGCACAGTGGAAAGGAGTGTGTCATCAATATCAAAAATCCAAGCATCTTTGCCATCATTCTTCAAGCCACAACTTGTGCTAAGATAAACAGTAGATTCCAGAATTGTCCTCTCGGAGTCAACCTTGTACTGAGTCGGATTCATATATTTCCTAGTGTAACCAACACATTCTTCAGGCACAACATCGAAATCTCGAATATTGTGCAGCTCAACATTCATCCTCCAAGCCTCACAGTAGTTCTTCAAGGAGATTTTGAGGCCATTAATCTTTGTTCTCTGGTTCAAAATGTTCCAGTCCGCAAAAGCTAGGCCAATGCAAAGACTTAAGGAACATAGCAAGAGAATTTGGCCTCTCCCCATTTTTATTACCAACAATGGTTTTGCAAGATGCGGAGAGAAGTGCTTTTTATATGGCTTTGAAATAGAAAAATTACAATAAATTAATGAGCAATATTATAGGACACTGGTGGTGTTAAGTACTATTATTTAATAGAAAATGAATCTCATGTTGTGGCATCCACAGGTGGGGCCTAACCTTTTATTAGATAATATTGCTTAACACTAATAGTATCCTTAAGCATTTTTTTTTAAATTAATATCATTTCTTGAAGAAATAATATGACATGACACCAAAATCCAAGAATTTTTCTGTCAAATTTAATAACATAAATCTAAAGTTTATGCCACTAGGTGGCATGAATTGAAATATGGCACCAATTTAGTGGTATTTATGTATTTCTCCATTAGATTTTGGAATTTGGATCAAGGGAATGAGATGGGGTCACATGGGGTTTGGAACAATTTGTCATGGTGGTTTAGGCCCCGTTCATTTCGTTGATTCGAGTTTAGAATTTGAGTTTTGCTACAGTAAAAAGCTCTCACAAACAATCACATCTAACTTTTTTGCTACAGTAAAAAGCTCTCACATAAAATCAAATCTCAACTCGAATTAAAAACTCGAATCAGCGAACTAAACGGGCCCTTAGTATGTAGTTTGTGAGCACAGGCTGGTTAAGCGTGGCATTATGCAATATATTAGGACAAAAATGTTATTGTCACTAATGGAAGTTTGGTGCCCTTTGGATTTGAATGGTTACACGTGGCATGAAATTAGGGGACAGAATTGGAAGTGTGAGAGACTGAGTGAGTTTATATGAACTTAATAGTGAAATCTTTGATTGAGCATGTTTAGATTAGACTATGCTTCATGAGCTCCACAAAGACATTATTTATATGTATTTATGTGTTATCATACCTTCTCCCAATAATAGTAATGATTTAAAAAAAAAAAAATATATATATATATATATATGAGATTGATTGAAGCAAATCAAGTGGGCATTGGTAGACTTTTTGATACTTCCAATTCCCCTTTATGCGTCGGTTTTTTTTTTAGAAAAAGAGGAAAATAGGTCAAGATTTGAGATGAATTAAAATTAATAGGCCAATAGTTTACATAAGTTAATAAATAGGCTAAATTACTGTTTTCGTCTATAACGTGTCTAGTTATGAACCATAACTTGACAAGTTATTATCCATAATTGTCCATAATTTGTCTGGTTATAAACCATAACTTGACAAGTTTGTCCATAACTTATCTAATTATGAACCATAACTTAATAAGTTATGGCCTATTAATTTTTATAACTAAAAATTAGGTTATATACTTTTTTAAACTTTTTATATTGGCCTATTTTATACTATTTCTCTTTTTTTTTTTTGTCTTTCTTGAGTGGCATCTTGGCACGTTCGAGGCTTTAGCCCGGTCTTAGAAATTAAACGTACTAATTATAACAGTAGTTACTTTTTTTTTTAACCTATTAGTTGTTATAGAGTAAGGATAAGACCCTAAAAGTAATAAATAAATAAATAAATAAATAAATAAATAGAGTAAGGATAACACCCATAAGCGATAAAGAAGTCCATTTAATAATTAAAGACAACTTAACCTTAAAAATCACATCAGTAGTTTTAACTTTTTAGGTCGGCTGTTAAAAGAAGTATTAAATATGAGTGTGAGGTCGACCGTACTCATAAACATAAGTAAAAAAACTTGAGAGAGTTTTTACGAAATCGAGATTATGCAAGGATAAAGATCTGTAAAATTTTCTCGAATATTTATGATTTATAATTTAAATATATAAAATTCAAATAAGAAAACGGTCTTAATTGAGTGTAATTTCTATCTTTTAAAAAATAATGTCAAAAGATAAAGAAAGTATCTCAATAATAATAATAATAACTTTTTAGCTTATTAGTTATTAACATGGCAATAATAGTAAGCACTTTTTTAAAATATATATATATATATATATATGAGATTGATTGAAGCATATCAGGTGGGCATTGGTAGAATATTTTATACTTCCAATTCCCCTTTCTGTTTCTGTTTTTTTTTTTTTTTCTTTTCTTTTGAGTGGCATCTTGGCATGTTCGAGGCTTTGCCCTGGTATTAGAAAATAAACAAACTATTTTGACAGTAGTTACTAATTTTTTAGCTTATTAGTTGTTAACATGACAAGATTGTGCAGTAACAAATACCATGGGTCTTTTAAAATGGAAGGGAGAGACCTAGATTCCTCGAAAAAGATAAGGATTAGTAATCCCTTTCATAAATCAAATGTTGGTCTTTAAACATGCAGTGAAAATTACCAAAAGGGGAAAGAAAAAAAAAAGAGTTATTTCCTCTTTTATCATTAAGGACCCGCACAAAATGAAAGTCTCATGCACAATTTCAAACGAGGGAAAAAAAAATTTTGAGAAATCTATATCTATTTATACAAATACAGAAATACTAAACTTAAAAGAGGCAAAAAGAGTTTACACCCCTCTCCTTTCATGTGTCAGCCTCTATTTTTTACCTTTTGTTTTTAGTTTCGCTTTCTAATTTTAACGATTAAATTTTTAAGAGAATATTGTTAAATTTATTTTTAGAATGTATGAATTTAAATTTTTACTTTTATTCTTAATTAATGCCTATTGACTCGTATAATTTTCTATATACACTTTAATAGCCAAAGAGAGTTTACTCCTCGCTACTCCTTCTGTCATGTGTCAATCTCATATTTTTTACTTTTAGTTTTTCTTTCTAAGTTCTTTCTTTTTTTTCGATGGTTGCTTTTTTTAATTTTACATCCTTTGGGCTACATGCCAATCTCCCAATTTTTACTTTATATTTTTACTTTTTCTAATTTTTTATTTCTTTTTGCTTTTAAAATATTTAATTTGTTAACTTTTTTCCTTTTTTATCAAATGCCTTAGTTGTTTTTCTTTTTATGAAGTACTTTCAAATACTTGCTTTCTCGTTTTGTACGTATTGAAGTAAAGAAATTCTTACGGCAACACATGTTCTTTTTAGTTACCGATAGGTCCTTTTATTTGAATTATTAGATTATTTTTTAAAAAAAAAATTATTAAACTTATCTTTACAGTGTATTGGTCTAGATTTTTATTTTTTTCTCTTAATTAATATTCTTTTAACTAATATAGTTATCTATATTTATACATCTAGCCTAACAATACATAAAAGGGTTAAAGCCCTTGCTCTAATACTTCTATTTAAGGATACCACGTGGCAGTTCTTCCTCTTATTCCTCTCTTTTTTTCCCGCTTTTCTTCCATCCTTTACTTTTTTATCTTTTAAATGTTATACTTTCATTAAATTTGTGAATTTTTTTTACAATTTAATTTTTCATGTGTGTTTATAAATTTTTTTTTCACTTTACTTTTATTAAAATAATTTCTTATTGTTTAACTTTTGCGTGTGCTCTTTAAAAATATATTTTTCCCAATTTATTGTTATGAAAATAATTTCTTTCACATGTATTTACATTAATTTTAATTTGTCAACAGTTAAAATAATTTTATTCAAACGGGTCCCTACTTAATTATTTTCTATGTAATTTCTATCATATTTAAAATTATTTTTATAGTTATCTTAAAGAGTCAATTGCTATTTTCTACACTCCTATATAATATTAATTCTTTTTATTATCAAAAAATCTTAATTTTTTCTATTTAAACCTTTCCTCTTTTTCTCCTTTTCTAAATTTCTTTTTATTTTTTCTTCTTTTCATTTGCTTATTGCCTCTTTTTTCTGAACATTCTTTGACTGTTTATTTCTTTTACAATATTCTTCTTTAAAATACTTTCTTTTGCTCACTTTCTTTTAATTACAATAACTCCTTTCGAATTTCTTCTTACTTAAGATTTTTTTAAAACTCTTATATAACTTTAATTCTTTTTCAATGTGATTTTTTTAAATACTTTCTTTTCCTTTTAAGTCCTTTGCTTTTTATTTTTTAGTCTGTGGATGTTTTCTTACATTTTAATTTTTCAAGTGTGTTCTTCAAAAATATATTTTTTTCACTTTACTCCTATGAAAGTTATTTCTCACATTTTAAATTTTTATTTGTGTTTCTTAAAATATATTTTTCTCTCACTGTACTCCTATGAAAGTAATTTCTTTCACATGTGTTTCTATTTAAGTTTTTTGCTAATGATAAAATAATTTTTTTAAATATATTCTTATTTAATTATTTTCCGTGTAATTTTTATTAAGGGAGTTTTCCGTATAACTTTTATTAATATCAAAAGTTGTCTTTATCTTTATCTATATTCATCTATACATCTAACATCTAACGTAATAGTACATAAAAGAGCCGAGTACTCTTTTTTTTCTATCTTTCTTTCTTTCTTTTTTATTTTTTTAAATGTGTTGTTTTTTATTTTTTATTTTGTGAATTTTTTTACAATTTAATTGTGTATGTATGTACATTTTTTCCCGCAATTCACTCCTATGAAAGTAATATAATTCGCATGTGTTCTTACTTTTATATTTTATCAATGGTTAAAATAATTTTTTTTTCAAATGTGTCATCACTTAATTAATTTCCGTGTAACTCATATTATATCAAAAGTTATCTTCATACTTGTTCTTTTTTCTACAACGCTCTCATAGAGAACTTCCCAGGTTGCCATATGGTAGTCCTTCCCTGCTTCCCTCCCCTTCCCCCAAACTCCTCTTTTTTTTTCTTTTTTTCTATCTTTATTTTTTAAAATATTTTAAATGTTCTATTCTTTTATCTTTTTTATTTTGTGGATGTTAGAGTTTTTTTTTTTTAAGTGTGTTTTGTTTTTTTTTCTAATCTTATTTTTTTAAAGTTTTTTTTTTACTTTGCCATGAACTCTTTTATAGTTTAATCTTTTAACGGCTATCTACATATCCAATATAATCTCTAATGTATATAAAAACAGTCAAGTAGACTTGACTACAAAGAAGGCCACTTCTTCTTCTCTTTTCCTTCTCTTTTTTATAACTTTTCCTCTATTTCTCCTTTCTTTTTTAAAATTTCTTATTT